CAAAAGAAAAAATTGAAGATCACCTCATATGATATAAAATTGTAGCATGAAACAATAAAAATGGTAATAAAGTGTGACAAAGAGGGTTAAGAAAAAAAGGAATGATTCAGAAAAAGAATTAAGTCTTACGAATTTAATATGGAATATGATCTCCCCTGACTTGTACACACATATCACAACGTGTTTTAAGGCTGGAAATAACGTTGTTAACCACAGTTTGGGGAATTAATATCCACTGTTCCAGCAATGCCGTCTTCAGAGCATTTACATCTCTAGGAGGAGGATGTATACGTGCAATTGCTCTTCCAAGGTAGTCCCATAAGTTCTCTATCGGGTTAAGGTCAGGAGAGTTTGGTGGCCAAGGTATTCGCTTAATGTCTTCACTTTCAAGGAATTCATCAACGAGGTTTGCTCGATGTGGACGGGCCTTATCATCCATAAATAAAACGTCAGGTCCATATGCACCCCTGAAAAGTCTTACATAAGGATCTAAGACCTCATCCCGATATACCTGGCCTGTCACAGATCCGCTGCTGAACACGTGTAGGGGCGTAAGTCCATCGATCATTATTCCACCCCATACCATCACACCTCCACTACCGAAACGGTAACGTTCCACAATGTTCGAGGGATCATTTCGTGTTCCTGACTCCCTCCAGATGTAAACACGTTTAGAATCACCAGTTAAACTAAACCGCGACTCATCAGTAAAGAGAATATGGGACCACTGATGTTCAGTCCAGTTTTGATGTTCTTTACACCAATTAAAGCGATCCCTCTTTTTCTGTGAAGACAGTAAAACACATACCCTTGGCTTTCTGGCATAAAGGCCTTTTTAATTAAGCCTTCTGTATATTGTTTGCCGTGATGCAACAGTTCCAGTGGCGGCTGCAAGCTCTGAACTTAACTGGCGAGCAGTAGCTTTTCAGTTACGACGGGCAGTTAATGCCAGATACCGATCTTTCAGAAGCAGTTGTCATTCGTTTCCGACCTTGTCCAGGCCTCCTTACAACATTTCCATCATTTTGAAACTGTTTCCATAGCTTAGAGACTGTCTGTCTTGAAATATTCAGACATGTGGCTGTTTCCATGATTGACTGCCCTGCCTCTAAACGGCCGATAATTCGTTACTTTACAGATTCTTCCAAATGATACTTCGAAGCCATAACAAACCGCTTTGAGTCCCTACACACTGAAATCAAACGCTATGTTGCAGAAATTCACTCAAATATTCAGTTTGCGCAAAGTGCTTGATTCCCCCTTGGATGACGTAACGGCTAGATTTGCATATCACAAAACGTTCGATTACTTTTGATTGGATAATGCTAATTAGGCTTGGTTTGCACACATTCCCTGCAAATACGGATCACATTGATTCGATATTTCATTGAATATCATCATTTTTGGGTATGTAAAGATAATTTTGGACATGAGTGTATATTTGTTAATATGTAAAGGATCTAAAGCGAAAGTATGTTTTGAAATCCGAAATCTGTTTATCAGTTTCACGCTGCTCGGCGGGGGGAACGCCGCGGCGGGCGCGTAATGAATTGGAAGTTGATCTCTCAGCACTCTCCTTATCTTCAGCGCAGATGTTTTTATTTTTTATTGGCTTATAATTTCCTTACCAATGTAGTATTTCATCTCGATATGCTCCGTCTTTGATATGATTTAAAACAAGTTCCTCGTCATTATAATTCGCTTCCGATAGCGAAGAAAGTGACAGAGGTTATTGAAAACGAAAAAATTTCGATTGACAAATTAGTCGGTGTTCTCGACACAGCAATTATAGGACTTGAACAGCGGAACTTTGTAACTGAACAAGAAATTATGTCTGTTTAATAGAATTAAAGAGAAAGTATTATCACATGAAACGAAGCAAAACTTAAACAACTTACCTTGAAAGAAATGTTTAATACAGTCAAAAGTCGTTAATCCGGACTCGTCGGGACTTCGGCGATTCCGGATTATAGATCATCAGTTTAAATCTGGTAAAATGGCATGCAGAAATTATAAAATTAAAAATATGAAACCATAATTTACGAAATAAAGAACAATTATGATCTAAAGTGTATCAAAATTTACAAAAAAGCTTAATATTTATTTGTTTACTTTACTAAACATTTCTTTCAATGTAAGTTGTTTAAGTTGCTTCGTTTTTTATGTGATAATACATTCTCTTTAATTCTATAAACAGACATAATTTCTTGTTCAGTTACAAAGTTCCGCTGTTCAAGTCCTATAATTGCTGTGTCGAGAATACCGACTAATTTGTCAATCGAAATTTTTTCGTTTTCAATAACCTCTGTCACTTTCTTCGCTATCGGAAGCGAATTATAATGACGAGGCATTTGATTTAAATCATATCAAAGACGGAGTACATCGAAATGAAATACTACATTTAGTAAGCAATTATAAGCCAAATAAAATAAAAACATCTGCTCTGAAGATAAGGATAGTGCTGACAGATCAACTTCCAATTAATTGCGCGCGCCGCGGCATTAAAGATAAACAAAGTTTAGATAAACAAACGTTAAAGTTTAGATAAACAAAGGATATGCCTTTATTTATTTTTTGCAGCAATTCCACTTTTTGTTTAATGGACTCCGAAACATTCTTTCGCTTTGTAGATCCCTTACATATTAGTAAATATAAATCGGAAATTCTATTTGACATAATCGAAAGTTCAAGCTTACTTTTATAAAATTGCTCTAACATTCTGCAAAAAATAATAAGCCGGATCCAATTCGAAGATTAAGGAACAACGCAATTTGCAACATTAACTGAAATAGATAATTAGAGCTTAGCTTATACCGTCCATTATACATTAAACGCGCATTCGTAAACGTATTTTGCGCACGCGCACACTCAGATTCGCAGCAGTAAAGGTCTTATGCGCATGCGTCAACGAGACGCATGCGCAGAAAGTTTGTAACTTTGAGGTCCGGATTATAGATCATTCCGGATTATGGGTGTCCGAATTAACGACTTTTGACTGTAAAGTAAACAAATAAATATTAAGCTTTTTCTTTTTGGAAATTTTGATACCCTTTAGATCATAGTTGTTCTTTATTTCATAAATTATGGTTTCATATTTTTAATTTTAGAATTTCTGCATGCCATCTTACGAGATTTAAACTGATGATCTATAATCCGGAAAATTCGATAATCCGAAATCGCCGAAGTCCCGACGAGTCCGGATTAACGACTTTTGACTGTAGTATATATTTGTTTTGCTTCCTGAAAATTTGAATGTAATAAGCAGCTGATTTTATTAAACCAGTGAGATTAATAAGCGGCAGGTATCACATATATACAAGATGCTAGACAAGTAGGTTAGTAGTGAAGCTTTCAAACATCATCTTCATTAAAGCATTATTCATGTATAAAAATATTGAAGCAATACAAATTCTGTGATTGCTGAAATTGCTTCCAATAATACCAATGATAAATTTCTGATGTTTATTTATAACTGGTGATAAAGAAAGGTAGCAGACTACTTGTCAGTGATAGGACAGAGGCAGGCATTAAGAGAGCAAGATTCTGATTTTGATTTAAATTGCAAATGGTGAAATTGCTTTATATTTCAATAGAGAACATAGTATGGCTTAATTATTATTCACTTGTTAAAGAAAGAACAACAAAGAGGATGTCCATGTCTTCAGACCATACAGAATCCATAATCAGAGATCATAATAGTACTGTGATTGTTCATTATAATGTTTGTGTTGCAGAAGTTCTTGGCTTGAACATGAGCTAATATTTGGTTCTTAAACTATAGATAAATTCTTCAAATTTTTGCAGAAGAATTTAGGCTCAGGATGAGAATAAATGGTAATAAAATCATCCAAACATAGCATTACTAGATATTAAAGTAGAATTAATAAATAAATAAATGTGATAAATGAAGCAATGGATGGTGACATTTTATGCCTCACTGAGGAAGGAGAGTTATAATGTCACAATGTATTTATGTATGAAGTTTTTTATATATTTATGTGTATTAAAATAGGTAAATTAATTTAATTTTTTTAAAATCTGTTTGAAAGGGAGTTTTAGTTTTATCATAATTTGAATGTGGTAGAATTTTTTTGTGAATATAATCCCCACTCTATTCTTTTTAAGATTGAATTGATGCTATTTTTTAAGTGTAAACAATGTAACAAATGTATTAATGTAAGCAAAAATTAGTTTGAATGTTTATGTGAATTCAAACTCCCCCTTTTTTTTGGGGGGGGGTTACTTTTCTGTTAATAGAACAATACTTAACTCCAAATATAAATATTGATGCAAAGTCTAACTAGATAGCAGCAACCCTAATGATATATAAAGTGTTATGAAAAAAATAATGACTTTATGTATAATGAATGTAATACATATATAATGTTAAGTTTGTGTGCGATGTAAAATTTGTGTGATTCTGTGATTTTTTTTTTAAACGAAACAGATCACTGTGTACCAAAGCAGAATACCAGTTTCCTTTTACTTATGTACACAGTGATAAAACAGCAGAGACACGCATTGAATGTTACATATATTATCATTGCTCAGCTTTTCATGACATGATATAAGTTGGTTATCACATTTGGTGTTTTGGCATACATTTGGTGCGACTGGTGCCCTATTAAGAAAAAAATACTTTCTTTCTTTTTAATTCCAAATTCCATGTTTTGATGCAATATAATAGTTCTTTTTCTATGTAAAATGCATAAAATTCTAATGTATATCAATGACAGGAGAAAAATTTCTACAAAACTGTTAATAGTTACAAAGCATTGAGAATATTCTAATTAACCATATGCATAAGAAACTAACATTATTTTACATTTATGATTTGAATGGTTTCTGGAAATGATAGTACCAGTCATTTTATTGAATGTTTATAACTTTTTAATTTGTATTCTGTATCAGTTTTGCCTTTTTGTCCCTTTTCATATTACTGATAATATAATTTTTTCAAGCACATTATTTATGATTCTCTTTATATTTTTTTATTACAGCAAGCTACCATTAATCCTAAATATAGCAGCAACTACTGCACAAAGTTGGAATGGGATAGTTTACCAGCTGAACTTCATCCTGCTAATGGTAGGACTTGCATTTCTTCTTTTATAGTTACATGAAAATCTTATAGATACTTAATTTTATAGTTTCTTATAGTTACTTAAATTTGAAATGTTTGATCATTTCTAAAAAATAAAATTATTGTTATATTAATATTTAATCACTTATTCCTTGGGATCTTTATTTGGCATTTGGTTTATGAAAAGTGCTTAAGTGTAATAAAGAAAGCATTTGTGTTCTATTTATTTATGTTTAATCCAGGCAGATTTCATTTTTTTTAGTTATCTTTTTAAAATGCAGATCAATGATGTATTTTGTATGACTTATATTAACTTCCTATGTAATGATAATAATTATATGAAGAATGAAGCAAATTGGTTGTGTTGAAATAGACTTTTATACAATGTACGTCCAGAAAGTAAGTTCCGTTTGGTAATAAAAGTAGATTGTGTACAGCTACAGAAAAGTTATTTATTGCACAAAATTCAACAACTCTTAAACTAATTTTCCACATAACTGCCGAAATATTGCAGGCATTTGTCATAGTGTGGCACAAGTTTTTGTATACCTTCTTCATAGAAATTTGCCGCTTGTGTCTTCAACCAGTTGGAAACAGTTTCTTTCAGCTCGTCATCATTGTTGAAGTGTTGACTGCCAAGGAAAGACTTAAGATGTAAGAACAGATGAAAGTCGCTAGGAGCAAGGTCAGGGCTGTACGGAGAATGGTCAAACACGTCCCAGCCAAATCCCTGTAGGAGGTTTTTCGTCACATTTGCAGTGTGTGGTCGTGTGTTGTCGTGAAGAAAAACAACACCTTTTGACAGTAATTCTCGGCGCTTATTCTGTATTGCGCGGCGCGATTTCCAAAGTGTCTCGCAATAAGCATCTGCTCTGATTGTTTGACCACGCGGTAAGAAATCAAAGTAAGATGCCTTTCCAGTCCCAGAACACTGTGCACATCATTTTTTGAGGTGTCAAGATTTGCTTCGGCTTAACCTTTGCTGGGGATGAAGAGTGCCTCCATTCCATTGATTGCCGCTTACTTTCAGGGGTGTCGTAAGAAACCCAAGTTTCATCTCCTGTGACTATCTGTGTCAGAAATTCTTTGCCGCTTTCAGCATAACGGGTCAAAAACTGAAGTGCACTACCCATCCATTTTGTTTTATGTTGCTCAGTAAGAATCTTTGGTACCCAACGTGAGCAAAGTTTACGAAATTTCAGTTTTTTGGTAACAATTTCATGTATTAGTGATCGTGAAATTTGGGGAAATTCCATAGCGAGAGCACTAATTGTAAACCTTCGGTTTTCATGGATCTTGTCATCAATCATGTGAACCAGTTCTTCTGTAACCAAAGATGGACGCCCATTTTGTTCTTCATCGTGCACATCACTGCGTCCGTCATTGAACTTTCGGACCCATCTTCTCACCATTGAATCACTCATCGCTTTTGGTCCGTAAACATCGCAAATTTGCCGATAAATTTCACTAGGTGTCACTTTCCTCGCATTCAGAAAACGAATCACAGATCTGATTTCACAAGCGGCAGGATTTTCAATCAACACCGACATTGTAAACAAGCACAACAAAGCGTACGTGACTGACGGCAATCTCCAAATGGCGTGCGTTTCTTCTCCTTGATACAGAGCGTCTACTGCGCATGTGCGGAACTGCGATCGCAGAGCTGCAGCGGAGATAAATTGAAACGGAACTTACTTTCTGGACGTGCCTCGTATTTTACATACTATTACATTTTAATTTTACACATGTGTTGAGTAATATCGAATACTGCCTTTCTCTTTAGGTGATCTACCAGAAAAACGAGTGTCAAGAAAGTGCCAACAAATTGAAAGCATAGTTACTGCTGTTCTGAAAGTGGCTCTGCCAACTCAAACTATCGTTGAATTTTGTGCAGGTGGAGTAAGTTGCAGATCTATAAAATATTTACTTTATGAGAATGGAATGTTAATAATGACTTTTAAATGTAATATATTTTAAACCATTAATCAATACCTAGTACAGTATTGTGTTCTTTACACTGATAACAACAAGTTTTCTCCTTTTTCCCCTTCCATTGAATGAAAACAAAGAACTGCTGTTACTGAAATGTGCACAAAAGTTCCCCTTTCTTCATTTAAGTATTATACTCAGTATTCAGTATGGAACCCCTGTTTAACACAAATGTTTTCTATTTCCTAAATTATTATGGTACCTGCACTAATTACCTGCACTCTTAAAAAATGGCAGCAGTTGAACTGGTGTGAAAAAGTGTTTACTTGGTTAATTTTGCATCTCATAGGTCATGTTCTTTTCATCAATAAAATAAAATGGAGCATTTGCTAAGAAACAATAAATTTTATGAAGCAAAACATAAATCTACATGGCAGATATTTGCATTTTTAGAATGAGTGGAAATTGTTTAGCTATAGATATACTCCATATATACTCTTCTGGTGTGATTTTGCTCATATGTTATACATGCATTGGTTGGCTGTTGCTGTAAGTAAACAAAAATTTGCTGAAAATATTTGCATTCTCTCATATATTGAAATTGAATGGGCAGTAGGATAACCAAAAAGTACCATTATTTTGTTTTTTTAATTCCCCTTTGAAGAGAATGCAATTTTCCATCTGTTAAATGCATCCCGAGTATTAAATGAATATTAAATTTAATTTTCCTCTTCATTAAATATGTTAAACATATGCTTAAACAAAAAATATAACTGCATTTTTTAATGCTGTTTCTCTATTTCTGACATTTTAGTCATTTCAATCTTTTAAATCTGAACTCAAAAAGTGTTAAATGTTTTAACTGTACATTTTGGGAAGACTAGATTGATTGATGGCTACCAAAAGTGTTGATTAAAATACAAAATGTGATTATTGCATTTCCAATCATATCTAGGTCACCTTTATCACCTCATTACCACCCTAAGTATTGTACCATTTTAATATGCCATCTAGTGAAACAGTGGGAATTTTCAAGTAATGGGTGCACTGCTTTATCTCAGAAATTCTGGAAATAAACTGTCAAACTGTATTACTGAGAAGTGTTTTTTTTTTTTTTTTTTTTTTTTTTTTTTTTTTTTTTTTTTTTTTTGTAGTTCTAGTTACTAGTATGTGGTAAACAGACATTGCATCACTTACATGGCTCCAGTTGTTTGTTAGTTAAAAGGTTCAGGTGTGGCTGTTCACCGCAGTTCCATTCTCGTAACAACAGATTTTACTCTTGTTGATATAATTATTCAGCATGTACCAATAATCAATTTTATGCAAGTTGCACAAGTGCTTCAAAGGTGGAAGAGTGTTGCTTGCAGATGATGAGTTATCTCAAAGACCTTTCATGAGCATCAGCTCCAAAAAATACGAAAAGGTTTTGGAAATTTGTATATGGAACATTGGGTGATGATCAACAGGATTGCTTATGTTGTTGTGTTGTATGAGTGAAATCTCATATTTCGAACATGCAGCATGCATATTTTATTCTCTGCAGTGACAGTGCACATTGTCATTAAGCGCTCTTAGTTAGTGAGTTTCTTACCAGTCCTATGTTATCACTTTTGCACCTGCTCTGCACACTAGATTTTACTCTTGTTGATATGATGCAATTGAAATGTTGCCATTTTTGCCAAAGTCCAGCTCAAATAACAAAAGATTATGGACTCTTATACAAAGTAACTTTAAGGACACATTACAGCATTGATAAGAATGGTGGGACATATGTTACTTTGAGGTGACTTTAAGGCCCACATCACACATACATTTGTTTCACATAAACAACTGTTTCGGACAATTTTTCTGCCTGGTTTACTATTGAAAGAAAGATGCGCGATTTTTTCCTTCCTTTCGAAAAAAATTGCAAGTTGTTCATTTTCAACCAATCAGCTATCAGCTTATTTGTAATGGAAAACCAGTTCCCCTGTGTTAACCCCAAAGCGGTGTGTGGTGATTGGCTGTTGTGACAAAGCACAAAAATTGTTCCAAACAGTTAGTTGTTCATTTGAAACAAATGGATGTGTGATAGCAGCCTAACAAGGGTATGATATTCAAATTGAGGTAAGTAATGTATTTTTTGGCAACAGAGCTAGTCCAGTGATTTTTTATCCACCCATGTAAATTTATTAAACCTTAGTAATATAAAAAGAATTGTGTAACAATTCAAAACCATTGTTTTTGATGATTTTCTATAAATTAGTTCTGGTGACAGAATTCTCCTCAGTCTTCATCTCCATAATTACAGTAGTGCAACTCCTCTTCCAACTGCAAAAAGTTGATTAGCCTTTCATTTGTAATTCTGATAATGGCAGAGAGGGGGAAAATTGGAGGGGATAAGCAAAAGTGAAATTAATTTGTAATGCTGTAGACAAAGGACTTCATCTGTTATTCAGAAACAAAGTCTATTGCTTAAAAGTACCTATCCATCTTTTAGGCTTAAGTTGCCTTTGCCACTTCTGCATTTCTTCTTCTACTTCCTCTCTCCCTCTTATTTATTTATTAAAACTTTTTTTTGAGTAGATTCTCATTTGATGATACATATGCAGCAGTCATTCAGTAAGGGGTTTAAGGTCCATGTTTTAAAATTTAAAAGAAAGCATTTGAGTTTATACTGGAGATTTTAAAATATGATTGAAAAAAAAAAAAAAAAAAGGTTTTTTTTATCATTTAATTGGGAAAGCTTGCAGTAATATTTCCTTCTACTATATTTCCTTTCAATGAAATATGTAAGAAAAAAATTCTAGATACCATTAATTTTTTAAATTCTCTATTTGCATAACCTAGTACCTCTTCTTTTGTTACATAATGTATCTAGAAACTTTTATTAAGTACTATGGTATAGTACTGTATCTATTAGTATATCCCAACATTCCTATGTGATATGAATTTAGTCGATCTCTAAATTTATCATATCATTTTTACTATGTAATATAGTCAAAGTTGTGTGTACTCTAATTGTGATTTAGTATTTGATTTAATTATTGTTGTGTATAATATAGTCATTATTTAATTTATAATGTAGTTATATTTATATTCCTGTGAATAATGTATAACCCCTTTCACATCTACATTGATGCCTGCTGTATTCGACATCATGAAAACTCTTTCCCAGTTGCTATCCAAAACTCAAATATAGAATTTCTGAGCTATAATGCTTCAACGCATTGTACTCATTTTTTGCCACCTCAACTCACTTTCTAAATGACTTACTGCATTCTTCCATTGTTCTAAAATATAACTGCATATACAAAATTATGGACTGCCTATTGCGCCCATAATCGTGTGTGAAGTGTACATTGTGTCTGCAGAATCGCTTTATCTGATAATAAAATAATTTTGAATTTGGTCATGTTTATCTGCAAGTCCATCATTCCATCTATGCAGTAATCATGTCTAAGTTACACCTGTGCTACCACTGTCAGTTCAAAACAGTTATCATCTTTGAAGTTTTCTCAGCTGCGATTAAAAAGTGAATTTGTGTCTTCTGTACAAAATTCTGTCATCATACCCTCTAAATCATTACATATATATAATTCTTCCTCTTCAAAAATTATATTATTAGTGCTTTTAAAAATTACATTAAAAAGTGCATTTTCTATTTATAGGGGCATGTTGGATTGCTTTTGGCTTATTATCTACCAAGTTGTAAGGTAAGTTTTTTGAACTTTTTTTAATATACAAAATTGTTTAATTTTTACAGATATATTTATGTGTAGTCAAAAGGTACTATCTGATAAGAGCATATATCTTTTTAAACTGAAAATTTTATTAAATGTGTATTTTAAATGCTATTATTCCATTTAAATGTTTCAAAGTTACAAAAGCTTTTAGGAAAGAAGATAGATATTTTTTGTAAATGAGACTTGCAACATAGATATAAAGCTGTGCTTTTATAAAGCCATTCTCCCCTCATAATTTATAGTTAGTTCCTTCTCCTTAAATGATGGTAGTGTTTCTCTGCAAAAGTAATTTACGATTTATGCTGAACCAAAGTATTGTAATCTAACATGAAGAAGGTTTCATCCATGTTAGACTAATCTTTACGAGGGCAGTAATATGCTTAGATATTTCTGCTACAAATAGTTCCCTTAAAAAATTAATGAATTATTATGTGTAAATGAATGGGTTAAAAATCAATTAGTAAACTGTCTGTCACTCCCGAATGTTTAATAAAGCTGGATACTGGTATGTTTGTCTGGATTTGAGTCCTGATGAATGGGTGGGCTGCATTTTGATAGTATTCTGCATGTGTAACATGACTATAAGAAAGTTTTCCTTGGGAAATCATCCACAAAAGCATCCCTTTGATTAGGCAAATACCCCCATGTGTTTTTATGTACTTAATAAACAAACAAACAGATAATACAAATTTATTTCATAAATAAACATGCATAATTATTTGAATAATGCTGCAGTATTAAGTTAAAAGATATGTAAAGCGTATTTGATTTTTAATTAGAACATAGGCTGAGTGGTCTTGTAATGATAAACATATATGAATTAAACAGTAGTTGAAAGGAATTTTCAAAACACAAAAGGATGTAAGAAATTTACGTGTGTGCAAGAATTACATGTCTGCGAAGAAAATTCTGAAAATGATTTGCTTTTATTAATTTTTTCAATCCACTTCAGTTTGAGCTCAATAAAATACTAATGGATGAGTTCAGAAAGGTAGACAAATTGTTTATATTATTGATATCATGACATCACTGAATGCTTATTGATCATTTTCTGAAAAATCCTGATGAAATATGAATAACAGCTATGGAATAAAATCATCCATATAAATTAAGGAAAATGCCTACTTTTAAATAGCATCTCAAAGCCATTATCTATACTTAATTTTTTTATTATTATTCAAGTACTGATTCTTAATTATTGAATCCTGTTATGTTTACTGCTTCATATATGTGTTAAAGTTTAGCACAAAAACCTTTTTATACGTCAGATTCTTTTGATCAGCAGTGTATTCTTTTTGTGAGTTTCAATTTGTTTCATCTCTCTGCCTCTAATATGTTAAGTAAGTTAATTTTATTTTCTTTGTTTTTATTCAGTATGTTAGCATGTGGTGTATACTGTACATTTTGGTCATATTTTCTTGATTATATTTTTGGCAATATGCTTTTTTTTTTTTTTTTTTTTTTTTTTTTTTTTTTGTGTGTGTGTGTGTGTACTGTGTTTTTTTCCTATGGATTCAGTTGTTTTTACTTATAACCATTCCCTTCGTGCAGTCAGCTATTTAAAATAGTTACTTTAAAGAAAGACTTGTAATGATCTCACAAGGAGTCTAGTTAGTGTAATTTCATGGATCTAACTAGTAAGTGACATTAATATAGAAGAACTGCATTTATTGCTTTTAGTATGTCAATATATAATAGACAGATAAAATTTGATAAACAATGAAATATTTTACACTTTGCTGAATATGAAACATTGGGACATGGAAGATAAAAATATTTTATTTCTGGCTGTGGCAACACATTTCTTATTACCCAGTTTGTTGATTAAATTCAAAAGACAAATATCTCACTCTTTGCTGAATGGTGCTTAAATTGAAGTCTTTTAATTAAATTTGAAATATAAATGTCGTATGTTTTATCGAGTGGTAACATATTGCTTTTAAATCACTGAGATTATTAACAAAAAATTCATTAAATTCACACAGAATATAAAATAAATGAAAAACATTCGAAATTTAAAATTTAGGTTTTGAGGAGCACATGTTTATGTGGAAAATTATGAGTGTTCAAAATTTGGTGACACTATGTGCTGCTGTCTTTTCATAATCCAAGGAATATTCATGGATACAGATTTGTCATCGTTTAATAATTGCATTTGTGAACCATCTAATTTTCATCTACTTTTTTTTTATCTGTTTTTCTGTTTTTTGATAATGTGACGAAAATAAGTATAACTTGAAAGAATTTTTCTGAAATAGCCACATGGTAGTGCTTTTCAAAAAAACATCAGAACTCTTTTTTTTTTTTTTTTTTTTTATGTTAAAAATTGGTTGAGGGTAGTAAAATATCCTTTGCAACATCATTATGATTCCTTCAGAGTTGGCATTTTGAAATGGTATCTTTCAAATACTGCAAAAGAGAACTCAGTATATCAGTAGAAAATAACAACTGATTACTATATCTACATGGTAATGTTTCCATTTAAATGAACAGGAAAGACAATTATAGAAGTTGATCAAATCCTATTTACTAATAACATGAAATGCAAATAAAAACAAATATTGATGAGGAGTCTTTTTTGTTAGTAGAAAAATGTGACTGGAAATAATCAAAAAGTATCAAATTAGTTTGATGATTTTTCATTAATTTTTGCAGTTTGTATCATTGTCATCTTCCAATAAGAGTATCCTAATGTTCAAACTTCAAAAAAGTTATGAATCTTTCAGAATTATTACGAGAAAGAACTATGATTTTGAGTCAATGAATGTAACTTATGTCATATTATTTGCAACCGCTACAGTGCAAATAAGCACTTTTTTTTTTTTTAAAACTCAAGTCTTACTATACCTTGTAAATGTTTTTTTTTTTTTTTTTTTGGTGCGGGGTCAAGAAATTTATACTTGGCACTATATTCAACATAATGAGAATTGTATGTGACAATTGCAGTCAGTAGTCATGGGATCCGTACTGCAGAGAGCTATATGTGTCTTATGGCATATAAAAGTAAAGTCTGTTATTAAAGTTAAAAGATCGTACAGTGTAGAATGTGATTCTAATCCTCTATAAAAAAATCATTAAGCAGTTGATGACATAGTTTAAAGAAGTGTGCAGCATGTTAAGTCGTGAAGAAGCCTGTATGCCTAGCCTGAACAGTGAGACATCTGACCGTATGCGTGACTGTTTTCATCTAAGTCCAAAGAAATTCCTTCATAGTGTATCATAGAGAATTGTCCATTACAAAAGACCCTAGAAGATTACAATGTGTGATATAGATTTTTGTGGATTTGTTGAATTGAGTTGGAAACAACAGAAACTTTCTCACTGCTGTTAGCTTTAATTTACAATTTCATGTATCACATTATGTGGATCATCACAACATCAATTTAATTAAACAGGAGCTTATTTCTTTGAAATTTAATGAATGGTGTGCTCAATCAAAAAATGCTTCTGCATAAACAGCATAAAAACATATATTTGGATATCTTGCAAAATTTCATTATACACATACCAAAAGATATGACAACATTGTTTTTCAACAAAATTACATGTCTCCCCATTGGTCAATGTGTGTACATAATTGCTTAAAATATAATTTTCATGACAGATAGATTGGTCACAGTAGTCTTATCCTGTGCCTCCTTGCTGTCTCTAGGCATAATTCCATTAGGTTTTTTACATTGAGATTACGTTAAAGATCATGCTTATCAAAGCCTTGTGGCATATCACAGCTCATATTAATTCTGTAATTCCGTAAATTCTCAAAGTCATGGAGTTAAATATTACTTTGTATTAAGAGAAACAATGGACTTTACATCAAAATTTAATTTTTGTGATGACATTGCTATGAGTAAAATCACTTTGTATCGATCTCTTCTAGTTTTTTGGGAGGAGGGGGGTAGAGTTGTATAATTTTGAAATGTACTCAATAATTATGGATATCCAGCATTTTAATTTACTTTAGTGACTACAGCTTGAGGTTAATTATTCCTTCCAGTAAATTTTGCATACAAATATTCATTTTTTATACAGCTATTGAACTTTGTAATTCAATTCTAAATTTTCAGGTCATTTTGATTGAAAATAAAGAATCATCAATGCAGCGAGCAAAATCAAGAGCTGAAGCGTTAAATTTGAAAAATATAGCCTTTTTTCAGGTAATTATTTTTAGTTTTAATTGCTTTATTTCTTTAAAGAATACCATAGGAAATAGATAAAATTTCATTAATTTTGTGTCTTGATTTGATATCTTGTCCTGTAATTTTGAAGACATGAAAGGAATACAGATGGCCAGAATGAAATAATTATGAAGATGTTTAAATTATGTGCCAAAAAAATTTTAATATGAATTGCTCATCAAAATTAGAGGAGGATATTTCTATGCTTTATCTCTATGCTTGGTGTGTTTTTTTAAGCACTTTATCTTGTGTGCTTTTTAAGTAACATAGAACTAGCATTTGTAATTAACTTAAATATGTTTTTTTATAAGAAATTATTTCAACTGTATTCATTTGTTGATTCCGTGAGACTGGTTATATATAACTTCTGTTTTTTTAGTGCTTGAGGATGGTATTTGCAAGTAGGCGGAGTGAAAATAAGCTTGTAGGAGGATCTTAATTTTAGATTTAGTTGCAATCAAAATCTATTTTTTACATTTCTTTTCAATGTATTTTTATTTTTTAGAATTTAAAATTAAAAAAAAAAGTACTCGTGGGTTATTCTGTCGACTATGAAAGTTGGTAGAAATCTTGCCAAAGTTGTGCCTGCAGAATCCTGAAGGAATTTATGCCTCTATTAACCCCTTGCCCTACACGATATCTGCGAGTTGCGCAAGCTATAGTAAACAAGAAAGTTGGTCATGTGCCATGCCATTCAACTTTTCAGCCATGTACTTGAACTGGCGCAAAATGTATACTTTACATGACATATATATTTCAGTGTAATGAAAGGAATTGTGAAAAAATAAACACAATGTTTAAGTACAAATAGTAATTTTAAGACGTCTAGGGTGTAATTATAATCAATTGATTAGTTGACAAAAATAATTGCATGATGGGTGTGATGGGTATAAGAGTTTGGCATGATGGGTATAAGAGATTTTTAATTCTTTATATGAAATTATATTTGAAATGTGTGACGAAGCTTTACTGGGAACTAAAGTAACAGATCATCCAGTTTTGTCAGAAACAACTGAAACTGACATTACAATCAAAGGGAAAATAATCGATGTAGAATAACTCCAATCTCTTGTTCTAATAATAATACACAGCATTTTATGCACAAATTCCTCACCACCACGAGTCAGACTCGTGGCTTTTGTTTATGACACGAATTCTTTACCATGAGTCAGACTCGTGGCTTTTGTATATGACACAAATTCTTTACCACGAGTCAGACTCGTGGTTATAGGCCAAAGAATTAATATTCGTTATATGACCCTCTTCATTTTTGCACTTTGTACAAATGCTTTCATCGATTTTTTACTATTTTGTTCAGCCATCTGAATTTTGCCGGAAACACTGTGTATACAAACGTCCTGCAGGTAGTTGCTTCAGTCTTTGACTTTTTTGCTGGCCATATTCAGCTGACTATAATAGCGTCCATTAATACACATGTTTTTGATGGTAGAATCCCATAACTTTATAAAAATGTCCACCACTTGCTGCTCTGTAGAAGGCAGATATCAAATTTCAATCAATTTTTTTTTTTTTTTTAAATGCAAGGAAAAAATACAGCAATAACATTTAATTTATGTTCTTGTTCAAGAAAACAAAGCATGGCATATTGAGAATCAGTCAGGGTTATACTGAACAAAAGCACAAATGTTACGGATGTGTTGTCACATCATGCTACTAATCATGCTACTTGGCAACAGCTTCAAGAGGACGGTGGACAGGATAATATCACAGTCAATGGGGTAATATATAAGCACCAAATAATAATGCAAGTTATTTTCTAGTTACATTAAAAAAATTAGCTTGTTAAAACAAGCTAATTTACTTTGGGGTCCTAGTGCATATTGTTTAAAAAAACTAGTACACATATTTATTTTGTTTAAATTTATGTTGTCTTAGTTAAATAGATTTATGAGTGATTACATATTGATTATTTACATAATCTGAATTAGCATTTGTATCTTGATATTTTATTCAAATTTCAAAATATTACATATTGATTACTTTTATAAACTTATTTGACACTTGTATCTTGGTAATTAATTGAAATTTCAAAATATTTTGTCATATTTATAGTGCAATTTAGATTATTTCAAAGGATCATTCGATATGGGAGTATCTTTGCATGCTTGTGGAGTTGCCACTGACCTTGTCATTCAGCAGTGTATAAAGAACAAAGCATCATTTGTGTGCTGTCCTTGCTGTTATGGTGGTGTTCAAAACACTCATTTGCTCAGTTATCCATTAAGTAAAAAATTTTGCAGCACAGGCTTATCTTATAAGGTAAAACTGTCTTTTTTATTATTGTGCATTCCTACTTCAACATGTTAATAAATTTCACTTATTTGTGCAGTATCATTTAAAGAAACATTTGTGGTTTTTTTAGCACTTGCATCGAAAACAACTCTCAATTTTGTTGTAAAGCTAGAGTCCTTCAACACGAAGTGATGTGGGATATAATAGTGTTTATTATGTAATTCATATTCTGTGTCTGGCACTAATTCTACGTGTTCTAGTGAAAATCTTTCATAAACTGAATATACTGGTTGTAAATTTCTTTCATAGATAACAGCCTCTTCTCAATATTGAAATCTTCTGTGCACCATTCACGGGAGTCACCTAGATATCTCCTATTGTGTTTGAATGGGTAATGCAACTGAATAACGACCTGATGTGTCCCTAAAATGCGAGTTTTTTAAAATGTTCTTCACAAAGTTTTCTTCATTGTTAAAGGTTGTACATTTGGAAACTTTTTCTAACTCTCAGAAAGAATTTACTAACTCATGTGTGCTTGTATTTAAATGATTTACATATATACTGGCTCAAAATTTGTAGTCCTGAAATTATCCATCCCAACCTCGAATTAGCGCAAATGGTAGATCAGGACCACGTTTGACAATTTCTCCCGTCATTAAATGCAGAAATACATTTACTCCAAATAAAAATGTCAACTGGTTGTGATTTGTAAAATATGGATCAGCTAATTGTAAATCACTGAAGTTATCGAGATGATTGATGGCAAAGATACATAGGGAAGTTTCTGTCACCTTGTCCAGTACAAATTCTTATGTTTGATACACGAATATCACTTTTAAAATGAGAAGTGAATATTGAATCGACTTCCCCATTACTTATAGTATTAAATTCTCTAGACATGATACAGAAATGGAATTCTCTTTCATTCGTAATCCTAATTTCTTCACACAATCTCTTGAAATAAATGATCTCTGAGATCCAGTGTACATAGCATCTACACTTCACAAATGTTGTTCAGAATTTTGAACTTTTGTTAAAGCAGTACACAATAAAATGTGACGGTTTGATTACTTTTTTTCATTTGAATCATAATGAGAGGCACAAACTGGTGGCTGAAAATCCTTAGGACTCGTTAACCTTCATCTTAGGGATAGAATTGCATAGGCGGAGATTACTGTTTAACTCTGAGTTTTATTTTTTGAATTATTTACAATGGCAAAATACTGTGATGCCTTCTTAAAGCAATGTTGACATGTATTTAAACTCTTGCATTTTTTGAGCAAGTGCATATTATATCAATTAAAACAGTCACGATTAGATTTTACAAATTCTTTCTTTGCTGAACCAATAAATTTAGAAAATTTCGAACATTTGGCTAAACTAGGATCTTCTTTACAATAACCACAATCCAAGTACAACCAAAACATTATTTTATTTGAACCAGATTTAGGTACCTTATACTTGTTGATTTGCTATTTGAAGGTCTTGCATAGTTTTTAGGAATTCAATTAAAGTCGTAAGTTTTTGGAAATCTCATTAGATTTAACTGACATTCCCACCATAATTTTGTAGAAGGGTCTAATTTTTGCAAAATTAAATAAGTCAGTAAAGTGTCACCAAAATTATCAATGGTTTGATTCAATACTTTTAAAGAACAAATTACTTCAATTAATATTGTCAACTAAATTTAGCAATAAATAGCAATGTGATTCATTGAATAGTTGTAAGCTAGAAAACCTTTAATATATCAAAAATTTTTCCTCTTTTATTGGAATATCTTTCATCAACAGATCCATGCTATTTCAAAAATACAATCCAAAATGAATGGTTGAATAATGCGATTGCTTCACCTTTCACGAAGCCTTCAAATACTGCAATTTTAGCATTCGATAAATTTGTATTATTTTTACACAAGCACTGAAAAGATCTTAAAAGCTATCCATTCTGTAAATTACCACCAAAAGTCGGAATGTCTTATAATTTAATATTGTCAAGAACCTGTTCTGAAATTACACTATTAGAATTATTTTTACTATTTTGATTTTTTAATATTTTTCACCTTTAAATTTCCACAAATAAATTTATCTCTGTACTCCTGAACATTATCTATTTCGTTTTCTAATTCTTTAGTACCTGTAATTAAACTTTTGATTTCAGAATCAAGCTTCCTAACTCAGTTTTCTTTTGTTTCAAAATTTGACACATTCCTCTATTTCTATTCATTATTTTCATCTGCAGTTAAAATAGTTCAATTCTTTACATAATTAGTAGCAATCTGTGTAAAACAGCTTTTTTGTTTTAAAAATTATAAGTTCACTCATAATTCATCAATTCAAAACGAAAATTGTTCTTAAAATTAGTTATAAACGATTTTAGTAGAATATAAATGTTTCAAAATCCACTTACCACAAAGTGGAGTAATTTTTCACAACCATAGCAATTTGCTTTGTTACAATGCGCTTAGAACAGTCACTATCTTTCACTAGCATTCCGACAGACTTTGACCAATTCAAAATTGATCTTTACTTAATAGGTTTCACAAACAATAATCACTTAACACTGGACTGTATTCCTTCACTTTTTTTCATTACACTAATTATAAATAAGATGTCAGCGATGCGAAATAATTGAACAAATAAGCAAGCCATTCTACATGGCTGTCACAAACACAATTCTATCAATCAATTATCTTGTTGCCACACTTAAAGTTCAAAACTAAAGGAAGAAAAACAAAAGAAATCACATAAACATCCTGCATGCCATTCAGTATGACCCTCAGCAACCCATTGATTCCATATTCGCACAACTGTGTTTGGCTGTCGACCAGTGTGACTGGCGATATCAAAAACTGATAATCCACACTCTCGACAGGCAACGATACTGGCTGTATCGAATTCCGACACTTGCTATAAGCATTTCTTCTTTTTATTCGAGGCATAACACGATATTTTGATCAAACTACAATCTTACAGAGCGCTTTCCGAATGAGAAATCCACTACACAACTTTTCTTTTATGTAGTGCTTCACATGTCATTTCTCCCTCCTGCATCGTCTAAATGAGCTGAAATACTAATCATTTGCATATCCCAACCTCTTCTTCCTTTCATGTGATTTTGACATTCGTCAGATCATCCCTTTCTGGTATTGCAATTTTAATGGCCAGCAGTGTGTTTTTAATTTTTTTAAATTATAATTTTGTATTTTATTTAATTTCAGTTGTTGTTTATTTATTTATTTATATTTCTCAACCATTTCTTATGGTGGAGAAATGGCCTTCAATATCATTCTGATACTTCTAATTTTAAAAATTAATCCATGGTTACATCGCTAGTAAGTTGAAATAAGCGTGATTGCAAACTAAAGCTAGTTTAGATCAAATACTAAATTCATAAGTTAATTTTCATTATTTGATATTATTTTGAAAGATTTCAAACAGTTGGGAAGTATTTTTGATTATCTACCTTAAATTGAAAATTAAATAATACTATATTCCAACTAAATTATTCTTTTTTATTAGACACTCTAATAAAAATGCACAGAAGTTAACTGAGTAAAGAAGCACGTTTCGTTAAGGCTTGTAGTGAGGGTAAACTCAAGTAGGGTTTTTTATTCATTGATAAGATATATAATGACTAATCGCTCTGGTGATGAAACTGCTTTATACTTATTTTATTGGGATTATCAGATTCTTACCAAATGCTTTATCGGTGTTTTTTGAAATAAGTAAGCATCTTTTATTATGCATTGCATATTGATGCAGACTCTGATTATTATCATAATATATATAGAAGCTGGTATTACTTCATATTATATAGGCATATGCCTGATAATTTTTTGCTCAGTCATATTAACTGAGGCCCACCAGCAGCCGAGCGGTAACGTCGCTGAACACCGGTAGTTCATTCCGAGGTTCGAATTCCGTGAACGGGCTGGCTGCATGGGTGTTTTCGTGGTTTTTCCCATGTGTAACGTGTATATGAGCCAGTTTCCCTTAAAAAGTCTGCCACAAAGGTATCTCTCCCTTTAGGCAGATAGCCCTCGAGTGCTTTGCCGTAATCTAATAAACCAAATCAAACCATATTAACTGAGTCCTAATAAAAGTTAAGGAAGTTATATTGACATTTTCATTTTTTTCCTAATGACTGGACAATTTGTCATTAAGTATCGGTCAGTAATAACTGAATCCATTGCTCATTTAGCCATTTCACTACTGAGAACATTGTTTAGGATGCATTGCAGGGGTAGATTGGTACTATCAATAAATGTGAGAAGGGGGTTAGATAACAACACAAATTCATGATTTGAAACAGGACACATAATCTGCCAGCTGCCATTAATCTCCATGTAAAACTGGGGACTTGGTATGGTTATTTGTTTTGTGGATTATGCATATATTATTGTCATCCTAGCTGTCCCTTCAGGGGTTGACTCAGGAGAATTCCTGGGAAGTACTGGCTAGGATCTGTACTTAGACAGTCTCAACCACGAGGGTATACAAACAGTCTTCATAGGCTGTGCCTGAGTTTTCTTGGGACGGTGTATGGCCCGGCAGGGACCATACTGGTACTGTCTCGTCTGCCCCTGGGCTGTGGGGTCGAAACATTGTAGATAAATACGTTGGCAGGATGGCACTTGATTCCGATTGGTAAAAACCTTAGGGTGAAAGTTGTCCTGTCACAAGAGTTGTCATTCTACCTGCATTTATTATTGTCATCCTTTTGTCCTATGCATATATTATTGTCATTTTTTGTAGATTATACATATATTATTGTTGTCCACTTTTCCCTGTCCCTGTCATTCTGCATAAAAAAATCTCAAATTAGTATTTGAAAGGCAGGAAAATTTTTGATTTTTTGAAAGGAACTTGTTATTTCTAATGTAGTTTATTAAGATTTAAAGATGCAGCTAAGATTAGCAATTCCTGACGTTATAAAAATTGAAACTGATATTAAAAAGTGGTGAAATTGTGCCAATGAAGAAACTATTTCTGGTATTTAAAGGCATAAAAATATAAGAATTTAATAGAAACTATTAAAGTGTGGATAAAGAAACTCAAGAATGATAAAGGCAACGAGATTTGGATAGATGATAAAGGCAACGAGATAATCCAGCTAAACATAGCTATACAGTGACTCAAAAGCTGGTAGAAGATTGGATAGAGCAGAATGAAGATGAAGGTAAACAGTAAAGTGATATTAGTAGAACCCTGAGATCTGTAAATAACTCAAGTTTGTATGGGTGAACAGAATTCTAATTAAATGTTATCAGTTTTTAGCAGTATTTTCTATATGTGAAAGATTGAGAACAAGATTTTCAAAGGGGTAATGTATTTTGAGGAGAAAAATTAAAATTCTATGCAAATTTTATCATTATTTTAATTAAATAATGTTTTATAAATGTGCTGTACATTGTTAATTTGTAAAAATTCCTTTTTTAATCACTTTTACGTAAAAATATTTTTACAGATCTATTTTTGCATTATCTTTGTTTTCTGGGTATATGTATATGGAGTGGATTTATTACCCATGGGATTATTAGCATAAATAATTGAGGTTTTAATAGTTACATTTTTGGTTATTTGAGCATTGTGGAGGAATCATGTACAAAATGTTATAATTAAAATAAAGGTAAAATTGATTTTTACAGAATGCAAATATTATACATTATGTTTCTCAAATGTGCAAACTTATAACCAAATTATTCAATAATATTCTATAATTCTGAGTTGATAGCATAAAAATTTGTAAAATACTTAAAGATAGATTCAAGTATTTTGCAAATTTTTATGCTCTTTCTTGCTTATATTTTTTTAAACATTTTGAAGTTTTACGAGTTATTTCCCCCCTTATCTCATAGAGTGGCCAATTCAGTTTTGTTATATTCAATATTAATTCAATTATTAATTTGCAGTTGATTAATTACTATTATAATTTTTTTCATGTAGGATTACACACTTTTGGCACATTTTGCAGATCGCACTGAAGTTAATACACCTACTGCTGAACAAGGTAATGCTTTTCTCGAATAGTTTATTTATTTTTATCTTTAAAAATGCTGAAATTTAAATCACAATAATCCCTCTTTTAAAAGTAATAACAGTGCTCACGGCCAAAAATTGCTTTAGGATTGACCTGTTGGATATATTTGAATTAGAGTTTGCTTGCTTGTAAAGTTCTACTTAAGCTAAAATAAATTATTCTATAATAAAAGTCTAGACACAGAAAGGGAATGTGTTCACATTAAGGGCTGCTCAACTGATTATACCAAAGGCTGAGCAGTAGCTGCCTTAAGCAAGATCTCTTTGAAGAGGACTAATAAGGGAAACTTGCTCACATTCATGTTACTCATGGGAAAACTTCAGCTTGTTTGTAGAGAACCAAACCTTGGAAAAATTACCAGTACAGAGAAGCCTTATTAGTTTTATAACCAGTGAAGCAGGACTCATTGTTTAGTAGCTAGCATGAGTTTTCAAAATCAGGAATACCTGTGAGAAAATTTAATTTTTAGGTCTGTGTTATTAGTGAAAAATTAGAAATAGTATTAAGAATACATATATATGTATATATGTAACATTATAGTATAGTATGATGATATAGAGATCATGTTTGTTAGTCCAGAGGGACTTTGTCCCTGAAGGACTATTGTTTTCATTTTGTGATTTTGTGTCAGAACCCTATAAAAGATGTATTACTTTTCAAATCATTGCCACTAAATACTATCGCTCTGTATTATATTTGAAGAAATTAAATAATGAAGAATCTGCATAAATGTGTGTATGTTTCTCGCATTGTGATAAAGTAACGGTACGTAGAGCTATCCAATTTTCAATGACATAATCGTACTGCGAATATGGGCATCTGGAAGCCCAAATTTGAAATTCAGAATTTGTTTTATTATCGATTTCATATTGTGTAAAACTTTAATGAATTTTTGATTAAAAAATTTAATGATTTAAAAGCAAGCAATGGCAATACTCTACCGGTGGGAAAAAAAACCTTTTATGTCCAGCGCGCACAACTGTGTATCGAAAATTCTAAAGATATGCTCATTTTAAAATTGTTTTGCGACATTGCTGTTGAACTGATTTTTTGGTTTAAGTGCAAAGAACATGATATTTAATAAATAAAGGTAACACACAAAATTAAAAAAAAAGCCCATTTCGACATAATTTAAAATCTGAAACCTTCCAGTTTTTTTTTTTTTTATTAAACAATTGATAAGAGGAAATAATTTTAAATATAGTTTTGATCCATATTAAAATTTAAATGCAATGATTGCTACGTCAACATAGTTTGAAGAGAAAAAGAAATGAGAGATTAATAAAAGATTGCCAGGAATCAATCAATGAATGAATTAATGTTTCAGAAAACAAGTTTTACAATGAAAAATGAAGTGTACAATAGATATTTTGATCTCTCAATTAAAATGGATATAGAAAAGGTTAAAATGAGATATCCTCAAATTTTCTGCTTGTACTGGCTAAAAATTAATTTCTGTGGATTCAAATAATTTAAAAGGAACAACTTGTTATTTAACATTTAGTCTTTCAAATGATATAAATGATGTAGTTTTTTTAAATAGAAATATCTAATTTTGAAAACATGGTAGTTTCAATAATTCTGAAACTTAAGATCCACCAACTGGTGTGTGGTAGATTGATGGACACTGATAGTTTGATTGAGTTTCAAATCATAATATCTACATGAAAGTTTTTATGATTTCATCCTGTGTCTGATGTGAATAACAAGCATAAATAAGAACTACAAGCATAACATTTTTTAATGAAAAAATGAAGAATTGTAAAAAATTTAATTTATTGAATTGTTAATTTAAAAAAGTTATGAATACAGCTTCATCCCATCCTGTTGCAATTTGCAAGTTGTGTCCTCAAATTGCCAGTAGTGAAAGAAAATTTTCAAGTTTTGATAAACTTCTATGTAAGATGCTCTGCTTATGAGAAATATGGCAAAATTTATCAGATAAATTCTCCCTCCTTTTCATAATGTAATTGGAAGCACACTAGATACATATTCAGGAAGTTCAGAGTTCAAATCCCAGAAAGGACATTGTGAATTTTGTCAGTTTCCTGATATAAAAAAATTCTAAAACACTCTACAGTGGTGCCTGAACTAAAAGATGGTGGACAATAATTTATCAGCACCAGGACTTGGGCATTTGGGTAACTTAATCCCCAGACGCCTTTAAAAGGGAGAGTATGTAACATTCTTTCTCCCTCCTTTCTGCATGCGCCCACCAGCGGCCGAGCGGTAAAGACGCTGAACACTAGTAGTTCAGTCCGAGGTTCGAATTCCACGAACCAGCTGGCTGCATGGGCGTTTTCGTGGTTTTCCCCATGTATAACGTGTATACGAGCCAGTTTCCCTTAGAAAGTCCTCCACAAAAGCATCTCTCCCTTTAGGCAGATAGCCCTCGTGTGCTTTGCCATAATTGAATAATCCAATCCAATCCTTTCTGCATGCCTTTGTGGTGTAACTGGAACCACATTTGATGCGCATTCAGTAGGTCCAGAGTTAAAATCGTAGTGAAGGCATTGCACATTTTTCATGTTCCTATACCGATATAACCTAATGACTCTAGAAATTATTATAATTATTTTTTAATTTACCTTTTACTGAAAAAGAATTACCTGATTTCATGTATGTAAAATATTATCTGGCATAAAATTATTATGCCTAAAAACGAATATCATCTTGAAACTTCTAGAAAATAATTGTAGTTAAATAATTTTGAGTGACTTATATAAAAATATTTTTTTCTCATAACAGTTTCTAATTTTACTCAATATTATATTGAGAAACTTGAATACTGTTTTAGTAGTTTGAATTCATAATTTTATGAAGTCATTGATAAAAAATTACATATACATTTTATAGAGCTGCACTTTTTTGTCCTTACTGATTTCTGGATGTAATTTACTTCTATTTTCATCTACATATCTCTTTTTTCAAGAAGTTTAATTAATGTTTGTAATATTTATATCTTTTTCCATAGCTGATGTATGATTTAGCTTGTGATAGAATTAATGCTCAATATCCTCTAATCTTTAATTATAAATATTTTTTGTACTATGTGTAGCTTTTTGGTGTACATAAATTCTCATAATTAAAATGCAGCTTTGCTTGTATTTCATCTTTGCCAAGCATGCTGCTTGATCAGTTATTTCAAGAGATCTTTCAGATTGTTTATATTGTTCTTTATCATTGTCAGGTAAATTCCTCAAAAGGTAAATTGTCAGGTAAATTTCAATACAGCAGAATGAGATGGAATCTAAACAAATTTGTTTTATATAATAGTATTAACTTTCATATGAGTTTTTTAACTTGCACAGTACATAATTTAACAAAGTGGGAATTTTTATTGTGTTATTCAATTTTTATGTGTGCTTTCATTATCTTTCTAGGTGAATTATGTATGGGTTTAATAGATACTGATCGTGCTTTATATGCAGAAGAAAGTGGTTATAAAGCTGAACTTACAACTTTACAGCCCATTACATGCTCACCAAAGCATAATTTACTAATTGGTATATCACCATTATGGACTAAACATTTAAGTTAATAAAATTTTAATTTTATATTCCCGTGTCATGTTTCTGTTTGCTTCACTGTATTCTTTCTAAGTTTCTTGCTTGAAATGTGTATTCATAAATTCCTCATAATTAAAGTACTGATAAATTTTAAGTAAAGATACTTGTTTGCATTTTATTTAATTTTTTGAGTTAAAAAACTAAGCGATAAATTCAAAATTGATCAAAAGCATCCATGCACAGGTACTTAATTTAAAAAATTAGGGGTAAAAATATTGAAGGTGATGTAATTTTTCCAAAGTTACTACACTGACTACCAATAAGTATTTGGACACCTATGCAAATGACGATATCTGCAGTCCTAAGGTACATCACGGACTCCGCCGGTATATATCGTGTAGGAAACAGCATCAGCTTTAGTCGCATGCAAGATACCTCGCAGTTCGGAGCTCTCTGATTTCGAGAAAGGTATAATTATCGGGTATCACATCAAAATTGGACCGTAGATCAGTGGAAATGATTTCTTTGGAGTGACGAATCAAGGTTTACCCTTTACCGTTCGGATGGCAGAGTCTGGGTCTGGCTTCTACCTGGAGAACGTCTCCTGCCAGAATGCATTGTGCCAACAGTCAAGTTCGGCGGAGGTGGAATTATAATCTGGGAGTGTTTCTCCTGGTATGGGTTGGGACTCTTGGTCCCCATTCATGCAAAGCTCAACTCCGATGCCTACTGCACTATTTTGGATGACAATGTGCTTCTTACGTTGTGGCAGTTTTATGGGTTGGACCCCTGTTACCAGGACGACAGTGCCAGTTGTCATGTTTCGGCATTAACCAAGGATTGGTATGGTGCCAATGGAGTTCATCGAATGGACTGGCCTGCCCAGAGTCCAGACCTGAACCTTATCGAGATCCTCTGGGACAAGTTGTATCGCCGAATTCAGGAGTGCACTACCCATGCAAAATCGGTGAAGGAACTTCTATGTGTTCTCCAAGCTGAGTGGAAGAAAATACCACTAGCTGTCATACAAAAACTTGTGGAAAGTATGCCCTGGATGGTCCACGCTGTAATTACCTCTCGTGGAGGCTCTACCAACTATTGATTTTGAATAAAGTTAGTTTTTCTTTTCTATCACTGGTGTCCAAATACTTATTGGGAGTCAGTGTATGTTGTTTAGTTGAAGTTTATTACCTTCGTTTATCAGAAATTTTATTTAATTGTTGTAGAAAGGTTTTTAAGATTTATGAACAGATTTAATTTATATTGCTCATTGAACATACAGTTGAGATAAGTAAACATTAAAAAGACATTCAAAATCAATTAGATAATCAGTCAGTCAGTCAATTCAATTAGAAATTAAGTCATGGGACAGATTTTTTAATAATGCAAAGCTTTTTTGGTTTTCTAAAGGAGGTGCCTTGGCTCAGGGAATCTTTCCACTATTTTCAATATGTACATAAATTATTATGATAGAGAGCACTTGGATCAGTGTTTCCAAAGGGTTGTGTCTCTATAAAGGTCTCTATAAACTAGTTGGTATTGTGTCACCTTGTTGGTTATCAAGGATCTTGATTACTACTGAAAGTAGAGAAAATCCTTTTTTTAAGTGATTTTATTTTTAGATGTATTATTTTTTTTTTCCTTTTCTTTTTTCTTTAAACCAAAATAACAGCCAACAACAATTATGGAAGAAGTTCTGAAAATATGATGTTAAATTTTGGAACAAAGATAAAAATAGTGAGAGTTGTAATACATGTAATTATTAGGAAAAGGAATTTTGTGGGTTTTGACATATTTAATGTTTGGAGAAGATATGGGTTGTCAAAATCTTCAAAATATATCCTGTTGATAATTATATACATTATGTCAATTTTAATTCCTAACTTATGTCTTTGTTCTGTTTACTTTACAGGGCATATAATTTTTTAACCTTATGGTTCATAACTTCGAAACTACATGTCATATTCTGTTTGACATTATTAACAATCAGCACTCAATCCATATTCTATAAACTAGAATATGACTTTAGTGCTGGTTCCTAATGGAAGGTGGGAGGAAAAAAACAGTCATTATGATGCTAAATATTATAAATCCACACTGAAAAGTGTTCCTCTAAATTAAAAACATCCCTGGAAAATTAATTTTGTATTATCAGAATGTTAATCTTTTACATTAATTTATTATTTCTTAGTATTATCAGTTATGAGATATGTTTTTTCCACCAAACATACTTAACTGACATTTTTATTTCTGTTATTTTTCCATAAGATCTAAGCATCTTTCAAAACAGTATCTAAGGATCCAAGATTTCAGCATAAAACTGTTTGAAGAATACTTTTTATGGAAAAAAAAAAAAAAAGAAGAAGAAGAAGAAGCATTGGAAATTACTTAATGGTATAAAAGAAATTCTCTTTAAAATAACTGATTTAGTTACCAACAGATTTAAGGTGCAACGTTTTTAAATTAAGATTCATTTTCCAAACTTTTAATTTGCAGCTGATATACCATTTGGTGTGATAGATATTTCTGATTGATATCATAACAACAAAATGATACAGCCAATTAATTTCCTGAAGTAATTAATTATTTTGGTTACTTGAGAGTCTTATTTAAGTACAGCTTTTTGATGGTTTTTGAGATTTATTTTAAAATTCTAGGAGCTATAAACCGATAATGTGTTTCATTGGATATAGAAATAAAAGTTTGCAATACTGGTAATATCTATCACACCAGTATGGTATATCAGCTGCAAATTAAAAGTTTCGAACATGAATCTTTATTTCAAAGCGCTGCTCTTTAAATATGTAGGTAACTAAATCTGTTATTTTAAACAGAATCTCTTTTATACCATTAAATCTTCTGCACATGGCATTATGGTGTACTTTTGTTTCTTTATTCAGTGAGAATTGTCTGGATTATGTGATTGCCAACATTATTTCATCAGTATTTGTGTCTTAAACAATAAACTGTCCAATTTTTGTGGAGCTTTTGGGAGGTTTCCAAACTACTATACTACGAAGAATGTAAGCCATAGGAGAATTTTAAAATTGGAAAATTGGGAGAAGTAATAAAAAATAGCTGTCCTTGAATTTAAGCCATTAGGACTTTTAAAATTTGGAAAAACAATAAATACAAATCATTTTACAAAAGGCATTGGAAAATATCAAGCATTTCTATATACCTAAATAATTATTGGTATAAATATAGCAAGCTACTTAATCTATTGAGAATTTCTTTGGATGCAAAATTACTTTTGATAGCTTAATTCCCAGAATATGAATTCTTATCTTCATTGTTGTACCACAGTATCTAACATTTTGTACCATTCAAATCAAAACAACATTTAAAAAAAATTTCAGTTTAATTATTTTTTCTGGGAATGGAAGATTGGCAAAAATAAGATGTTAAAATACTTACCTTCAAATTAAGTTCTAATTAAGTTGTACCATAATTTTACATCTTAAAAATCTGACTAAAATGTATGCCTTAAATTTGAAGTAATATGGTACTAATTTTATCCAACGTTTCTATTCAGCAGATGTTTTTCCTAACAATACATATTCAGAGATGTCAATGTAATGTGCTGAGATATTTAATACCTCTAAGACTAATATGGATATGTTTCTGAAGAAAGAATTTTTAATTGGCTGATGGGCCTAATTCCATTTTTTATTTTAATTTTGCTTAGTATGAATGTACTATGATCCTTTTAAGATCTCCAGCATTACCGATATAAATTTTAATTGTATCTTTAAATAAATCATGGGTGCTTTAATTTCAGGATGAGATATAACCATACAGTTGATTGTGTAGTGACTTATAAGTTGAGGCGTGAAGGCGAGCCTCTTATCTAACATTACTCCAAGATATTTTACACATTTTTATTTAGGGACCATTGCTCCATTTAATGCAATATTTCAAACTTCTGTTTTACTTTTCTGAAAGTAAATAGAGATTTATTTGTATTTATTTGAATTTTCAAGGATTGAAACCATTTTGAAATCAGATTGCTAGCCTTCTGTAATTTTTCTTTAGCATGGTGCGAATTTACTGAGTTGCATAAGACAGCCATGTCGTCCACGTAGCATGCAAATAATACTTACAGATCAGATGGCATATCAATTATGTATAAGTTAAAAAGTATTGACAAAAATGATCAAACTGTGAGGGACACCTGCTCTAATTATCTTTCTTTTAGAGAGAGTATTTTGGATTTTTACTTGAAAGGTTTTGTCAAGGTAATTAGAGATCAGACTAATCAGTTCTGGTGGAAACTGGAAAGACATAAGTTTGATAAGGAGGCCATGATGCCATACCTTATCAAAACAGTATTCTCATACATTTGATCATATGATTGTAAATTCTGTGTTATATCAAAAAAGATCAGGCTTGCTAATGAATATTTCAGTAGGAAAACATTAAGGAAATTGAGTTTGTGTTTACATCAGGCATTGGAAAGAATGATATTTATAATTATTTCTGGAAATTTGAACTTAAATTTTCTCAAATAAAATAAAATTATTTAATTTCTCATTGTGTTTTTTTACTTAGGTGCTTTACAAGATGTTAATTTTTTCAGAGATATTATATAAAAAAGTTTTCAAATTATTTTCGACCCATTTCAACCTATTTTCTTAGTTTTAATTACCTTATTTATATATATAAATGTTGCATAATAACTAAAGAATTATATTTTGAAAAGATTACATAAAAATTATAAAAAGTTGTGAACATTGGGAATTCACACCTAGCATCTAAAAGGGCTGGCTGCATGTTTTTTTTTTTTTTTTTCTTTCCGTATGAAGTAAATATGAGCCTGCATTTTCTAATATTTTTTTTGTAATGTATTTTTTTAATGAAAAATTACAATTATATTTTATAAAAAAGAATTAATTAAATACTAACCCTTAATTACATAAATTAAAGATTTTATTAATTGTTACTTTCTGTTATTGTAGTTCTATTCATTTTAAAATTTTGAATGCTTAAGTATTTTTGATTTTTCAGTTCAAAAATATTAATTAGTTAATAATAATTACAATAGAATTAT